AACATTGTTAACTTTTTTTTCTTCTACCAATGGTATTGTTTGGTTTTTGATAACATGGCATGGAAGTCATGTTAATTTAAGGATAAAAATAATATAAAACATGAAGTAGAAGGATGTTGACAAAAAAAAAAAAAGAAGAAAAAGAAAAGAAAAGGAGTAGAAGGATGCTAATGAACAACAACAGTATATAAGGACAATAACAAATAATTTTTCAAAGTACAGGGACTTCTAAATTGGCTTTAACCTTTTCTTTCTTTCCGGCCTTTTTCTCTTTCTACTAGTGGTATTTTTTTTTTTTTTTAAATAGGTGATTGTACTAGTGGTGTTGTTTATTCTTCTTCTAGGTACAGTTGCATTATCAATATTTCAACCCTGATTGCACAGCGCAGTAGGGCTGTTAAAAAAATCGATCCAACCGCAAAATTAAATCAAATTCCAACCGAATGGAATCGAATTAATAATTCTATGGTTGACCAGTTTGATTTAGGTTGAGATTATCGGAATCGTATATATTTGATTTGAAATTTGACGGATTGAAACCAAATTAAGAATGAAATTTTTAAGATATAAGTTGCCAACTACCTAAATAAATAAGTGGTAATTTTTTTTTTTTAAGTTAAAGATCATGAGTTCAAGTTATATGATATATGAGTAGGATGAAATAAGAAATGAGAGATGATTGCCTTTCGTTATGCAATCAACATAAAATATATATATATATATTTATATATATAAGTTAAGGATATAATTATTCTATTTTTTATTATTAATTTATATAAAAAATAAAAAATTAATTTAAAATTTATTAATTATCTAATTAAGTCATTTTCAGTATTAAAAATAAATTTTTATTTTTATAATTTTTTATATTTATTAATAATAAAAAGATGCCATAAATATATCTTAATCTAAAAGTACATAATTGAAAGGCCCAGTTAAGAAATATATTTATGAATACATATTCTATTCCGAGGAACCCACATAATTAACAATTTAGGGGAGGTTTAACTCGGTCATAGCATTCTTTTTTAGTAACTTGTTCTTTTATGCTAATTCCTTCAAAATTAGTTATCTTACTTTTTTGAATGGAACTATGAAAGTGCATGGTGATTAATTAGTACTCTAACATTTTTGTTAGTGCAACAACAGGTGTGTTTAGAATTATTATGAGGTGCTGTGAGGTGCTGTGACTGTAATTGTGATTATATTGAAATGTGTTGTGACTGTAGTTAAAAGTTATTTTGGTATCTGGACTTTTATTTATTAATTATTAATTAAAACTTAAAAAATATTGTATAATGTATAATTACTAAAAAAAATTATAAAACAAAATCATGTTTCAATATCATCAAGGAACAACAATTGTAATTCTGATTAATAAAAGAAAGACGCCAATTCTAATTTGATGAATTGGAGGATGAAAATTTAGGAAAAAAAATATTATAATTAAACATTACAATGACAAAGGAAAAAAACAATAATTTTCAATTTAAATAAATCAATAAAAAATTATTTTTTGATATTCACCTAAAAGAAGATCCGACATTGATGCTCTTTATAGTGAGAAAAGAAATCAATTGTTCTCAATATGAAAGAAATCGAGGTAAAAAAGTACTATTTAAAGGAAATATAGTTAGGGCAATTAAAATTAAGTTTAGGTTTTAGGTTGGGTGGGTATTCCATAAGTTGGGTTTCCTATGGGAGAGGAACGGAGTTTGTAATTTTGTAATTATTTTATGAGAGTTTTAATAAGTAATTTTGTAATTGTATTAAATATTAAGTTTTATCTGTAAAAGTCACAATTAAAAAGTTTTAAAATATAATTTCTAATTATATATATAATTATTGTAGACTTACTGTAACTTTCTAAAGTTTTTTCAAAAAATAGTTTAGAAAAAAATTACTAAACATATATGTATCTAAACGTATCATGTGATTATAAGAAAAAGTTCCCAATCACAATTATAAACGCACCCAACATCATCTAAATTGCCTTTAAGGACATGTTTTAAGTGGTTAAAATTTCAAAATTTTAAGTTGAAAATCTCGAGTTTAAATTTGAATACAAATGAGAGTAAATTTTTTTTAAAAAAGATAATATTATCTTTTGTTATATAGTTTATTATCTTATGTATTATTAAAAAAGAAAAAGAAAAAAGAAAACATTGGCTAAACTTGCACACTTTGCAAAACTAAAAATAGATGAAGAGTAGGGCCTAAGTCTTTTTTCATCTTACAAAGAGATTCAAAGTACGACCTCTAACCCAAAGTTGTCAATACCGTACTGGCATACGTATCGATTTTGCTATTGAAACAATACGTACCGGATACTAAAATTTTTCGTGTACCATTTTAGATTTATCGTTATAAAAAAATTTTGTGAAGAAATTCAAGAAAAATAACAAGAAAAAGACTCAATCGAAAAAATTAAAAAGTTGAGGATGAAATCTACCAAAATAAATCCACAAATCCACCCCAATATTGAGCCCACCAACAATTTAATTCAAGTCACAACCCAATTTCATAGCCCAGCCCATCAAAACCCAAATTTAACAATAAAAGAAACCCTAGTTTCCCCACTTTTAAAAGGTGAAAGAAACTGCAGATGAAAAAAAAAAACAAAAAAAAAAAAAAATAGAAAGCCTCTCGATTTTTCTCTCTTCTGCAGATTTGCGACTGCCACCATCACCCTTGTTCCTTTACCTTCGACCTTCACCATCCTCTTGCTAGCTAATCATCACTCTCATCTCACCAATCACCAAGAAGACGATGTAGATCTAGCCGCGAGCCTCCTTAAGACTCCGACCTTGACATCTTCTTGCGTCTCATCATCATCATTGCCTCCACCTTCATCACTGGTAAGCAAAGGGGTTCGGCTGCCACCAGAAAGGGAGGATCTTTCTTCTCCAAAAAAATCTCAAGTGGTTATCAACACCGTCGGTACGTCGAAATATCGGCCAAAATACCGAGATTTGATCGAAATGAACGAAATTTGACCAAAAAAAATTAAGCTTTATACCGTTTCGGTGCAAAGAAAAATTCAGTACGTACCGACCATACCGACTGATACAAAACAAAATTAACTTTCTTGCTCTAACCTTTTTAAAAAATAAAAATAAAAATCTTAACATGAGTCCCTTAACTTTTCAAATTTTTAAGAGCCATGGTAGGGCCGGTGCCCAACCATTGCTAATTGTGGTTTCACTATGCAAAAAGAGTACTAAAAAAGTATGACAATTATTTCTAAACGAGGCCTATTATTAGACTTAGAAAAGGCAATAATTTTATTTCTCATAAATGATATTTCTTTTATTTAGATGTTCGCTTTTGAGACATTTAATTAAAAATTTTAAATTTTTACTCATTTTACAGTTGAAACACTTCTCAAAATCATCAAACCAAATACTTTTATTGGGTTTACATTCTGTTTAAAAGGCTTTAAATTGAACCCAAACCGAAATTATCAATTCGGTTTTGATTCAGACCGAGCCGAAATTAAACATAAAGGCCCAGCAGCCAAGGGGCGAGATCAATTGTCATAGCTGGACCCCGTGTGGGACCCAGCGATGGGCCACCCCCCACCAACTTGTCTGAAATCGGATGTAGAAAACCTCACACCCGGCCGCCGATTCCTTGTCGGTATTCGTGATTCTGGTCGGAATATATTGGCCATTGATTATTATTATTATTTTTTTTTAACAATGTAAAATCTTTTTTCTTGAGAGAAAGGGAATGGGAGGACTTAGGATTAATCCCAAATCCTAATAGTCCTACGCACGTCCTTTGTAGGTGTGGCCATTTAGCCACCGAGTGCGGGACATATATTGGCCATTGATTGGAATATTATTTTGATGAAGATAAAATGTGAAGAAGATGTTGACTTTGATTTGACAGCTTTTGATCTACAGGGATTAACGAATGTTGACAGTATATTTTTGGGACCCAATGGTAACATTTGGGATAAATAAGACCCAAGTGAATAGTTTTATAAAGTTTCGGGATGAATTTATACTTTTTTCAATTAAGTGATTAACCAGTTTGAGAGTATATTTTTACTTTGTAGGGATCCATTGGTAACATTTGGGCGAAATAAGACCCATGTGAATAGTTTTAAAAAGTTTAGGGATGGGGTTGTGGCAAAAGAAAAAAGGAAGGAAGAAGAAGAAGAGGACCATGCTTTTGAGTTGGGTGACATTGCAAGACCTTTTGATTATTTAAGAAGAATCAGACCATATATATATATATGAAAAGGAAAAATAATTGAGATAATTTTTTATATAATTTTATATATCATTTAGTAATAAATTTTTTTATTATATTAAATTTTATAATATTATATATATCAACTCTTTTAATGAAATATAAAATTTGTAAAAAAATTATAAAAAAAATTATCTACAATATCATTACCTTATAAAAAGCTGAAAACATAGTCCTAAGAGGAAAATATGTAAATTAGATCCAACTCCTTTTGGTGACAGATAAAATCAATGTTCCTTTCGGTGCATTATTATTGGTAGGCGAGATTTTTTTGCTATATATTCAAAGAAAATAATGTTTTTTCTTTTGGGGGTAAAATATCAAGAATAATACTATGTGTATAGTATTAAATGACAAAAATATTTGATCCTATTCGAACCATGTGATGATGCTAAGTTGGCACTATCTCCTACTTGCATAGCTTAAGTATTCTCCTGACATAGTGACATTAATATTTATTTTTAATCTCTGCAAGATATATATCTCAAGAGCGAGGAATTTTGTGAGAGAACAACTTAACTAAATGATGTAGAATTACAACAAAAGCTGATTGTTTACCAAATTTCCAACTGAAAATTTGAATGTCGTTTACTCTTTGTCGTTTGAACTGAAGTTAAATAAGTACCAAGAAGAGAAAAAAAAAAAAGAGAAAGATATTTTGATATTAAAAATGCTTGAACATTTAATCACAACTATCAAATGTGTAGGATATAATATGAGTTATAATTTTATCAAATTTATCATGTAACTATCATTAGATATTTTGATATTTTTAATGACAAGAAGTCTTGATTTTTCATTTTCACGTACCAAAAAAGTATTTAAATTAATTGCTTGGACTCAAAATATATTTAGCAAATAATTGATTTTTTAATAATTAAGATTTACTGTTATTTATAATTTAAGCATTTTTATTCATTTAATCAGTTCGAAACTTAAACTTCGAAACCTCCACACCAGATACCGAGGGGCAACAATTATCATTTATAATTATTAGCAACCCACTTTTAGTTAATCGTTTTAACAATTGAATCCAACCACCGTCACTTGTAATTGAACTTTTTCTGTCACTGTTTCTTTCTTTTCTTCTCTTTTCCTTCTTATTATTATTTATATATATATATAAACTTTTATTATTCATGATGTGGAATTTTCACCCAAAAAAAAAAAAAAAAACCTTAGTTATTAAGGAAAAAGAGAGTAAATTTCAGCGTGCAGCAGGCCGACAACAAAGATTGATCGTTATTTATTTATTTATTTTTTGGAAAATAGGTAATGGAAGATTGATCGTGATTGTGAAGAAAAAGAGAGTTAATGCACAAACTTAACGAGGTTGATTTCCGACCAAAAACTTAAATGTCTAATGTCTCGATCTGTCTCTTTGAAACAAGAAAAAAAAAATGGAAAAAGATGAAAAGGAAGGGGGAGATCGGCTCTAGCCTCTAGGGTTGGGAGAAATGAGAATTGCTTGAAAAAAAAAAAAATGTACAAGCGTACGTTATGATTTGAAAATAAAATGTACTAATGCCAAAGTAGGTCAAGGGTTAAATGCAGATCCAGCTAGCTTTTCCTTTTATTTTTATGCAAATTAATTAAGCAATAAAGCTTCCTTTAATTCAACCTTACTCTACCGGCTCTTATTGTTTTGTTTAGTACATATACTTTATTTGTACATCCCAACAAACACTACTCCTCAAAACAGTTATTATAACTTAATCGAATTCATATCCCATTTTAAACTTTCTCCGATCTTCTTTTTATCTTCCATATTAAATATATAATGAGTTAATAAATAATATTAAATTAGTACTTTGTTAATAATTGAAATATTCATTTATCGTAAGTTTTTGTCGTTCATTTATTTGTAATTTAAAACAAGGCTCAATTTGTTATTACTGGTTTGTTTGTTAATAAAAACAAGTTTTTTAGCTTGTTATGCTCAATTAACATATTTGAATATATATATATATATATATTTGAGCAAATTACAATTAAATCTACTATATTAAGGGAGAATGGAGAAAGGGAATCACCAGGAACTCAAACTTTCAAATCGAGATGTGTTCTCATAAACAATTAAATGATAAATCACTTAATCTAAGAGTAAGAAATAATATTTTTAAATATATTTTAAAAAAAGAACTTGAATAGTTGCATTTTAAAGCAACTTACATTAATATTTACATACTAAACTCATAAATTTTACATACTAAACTCATAAATTTTACATAATTTTTACTTAAAGCAATTATAGTTTAATACATAAATATTTAATTAAGAAAAATTAATTCCCATCTAAATTCATGAACAGTCCAAGTAAATTCTAATTAACTATATAAATTTTTATTTTTAAAGAAGATCATGCAGATTATCAATTAATATACAATGTTAAGTGCAGTCTGCCACTCTAATAATAGTTAAAAAAAAAAAAAAGACAACCTGCTTACAACGGAGTGCACTCTACCACTATACTTTTATAGTTAATGCGTACAGGTGATATTTATTTTACACAAAATCCTTAATGGGTGGGTGTAGTTGCTTATTTTACACGAGAAAACACTGTATCACAACCCAGAGAAGTCCACAGACATAGGGATTGACAACTGGGCGACTTCCTGCCAACTCAATGACGTTGTCCAATTGGGTTTATTTCTTATTTTCTTACGGAAACAAATTCCACAGTCCCTACTCCCTGTTTCAAGGATTCACATTCAGCTGAATCGCTACAAATTTCAATTGCCATCTTCAGATTTCGTCAAGACAAGCAAGAGCGTTGTCTTCTGCTGGCCTGAAACTAGGAAGGAGATGAAACCAAACCCAAGTTTATTGGGGGTTGCCCTGTTCTTCTTCTTCTTCTTCTTCTTGTTTTGCTCTGTTAACTCAGATCTAGCATCGGACAGAGCAGCCCTGTTGGCCATCCCTGGAGCAGTACGCGGTGATCCGCTACTATGGAACCGCTCTCTCAGCCCGTGTAACTGGACCGGCGTAATTTGTTCCCAGAACCGAGTGATTGAGCTACATCTGCCCGGTGCAGGTCTCACTGGGCAGTTGCCCGTCGGCATTGGCAACTTGACTCAGCTCCAGACTCTCTCTCTCCGGTTCAATGCTCTGTCGGGTACCATCCCAGGTGATTTTGCCAATCTTACAGCTCTTCGATACCTCTACCTGCAGGGGAACCGTTTTTCCGGTGATATTCCCGATTTCTTGTTCGACTTGTCGAATTTGGTAAGACTTAATCTTGCTAATAACAATTTTTCGGGTGAGATCCCAGCGAGAGTTAACAATTCGAAGAGGCTAGCTACTCTGTATTTGGAGAATAATCAGCTATCTGGGTCTATTCCAGAAATTGATATCCCGTCACTGCAACAAATCAATGTTTCAAACAACCTTTTAACAGGGTCGATCCCGGCCAAGCTTTCGGGTATGAACGCGAGTGCTTTTCTAGGGAATTCCCTCTGTGGGAAACCTCTGGTTTCCTGCAATGGGAGTACGACTGGTGGCGGAGGTAATATATCCGGCGGAGGTAAATTATCCGGCGGAGCAATTGCCGGGATTGTGATTGGGTGTGTGGTCGGTGTTCTGTTGCTTGTAGCCGTATTGATATGTTTGTGTCGGAGAAAAAGTGGTAAGAAAACGGATACAAGGGACGTTGGCCCTGCAAAACAGACTGAGATTGAAATTCCTGGGGAGAAGGCAATGGAAGAAGGCCAGAGTAGAAGTATTGGGTTTTCAGGGGTGGTCAGAAGTGAAGCTAAGAGTGGAGGGAATAAGAGTTTGGTGTTTTTTGGTAACGCAGCGAGGGTGTTTGATTTGGAAGACTTGTTGAGGGCATCTGCAGAGGTTTTGGGGAAGGGAACATTTGGGACAGCATACAAGGCCACATTGGAGATGGGGGTGGTTGTTGCTGTGAAGAGGTTGAAGGATGTGATGGTACCGGAGAAGGAATATAGGGAGAAGATGGAGGTGATTGGATCAATGGATCATGAAAGTTTGGTCCCCTTGAGGGCCTACTATTACAGCAGAGATGAGAAGCTTCTTGTTTATGATTACATGCCCATGGGAAGCTTGTCTGCCCTTTTGCATGGTAACCATTTCTTTCTCCGCTTTCATTTGTGTATGTGCATTATGATTTCTTTCTTTTAATAGCATTTTTGGTTTCTTTTGTTGTTTGGGTTTATCAGGAAACAGAGGAGGTGGCAGGACTCCATTGAATTGGGACACCAGGTCTCGCATTGCCCTTGGAGCTGCAAGAGGGATTGCATACCTCCACTCCCGAGGCTCAACAATCTCCCATGGAAACATCAAATCTTCAAACATCCTCCTCACAAAATCATTTGAAGCTCGAGTATCCGACTTTGGCCTTGCTCAGCTTGCTGGTCCAACAGCTACTCCTAACCGTGTTGATGGCTACCGTGCCCCAGAAGTTACAGATGCTCACAAAGTATCCCAAAAGGCAGATGTCTATAGCTTTGGCGTGTTTGTTTTGGAATTGCTTACAGGGAAAGCACCAACACATGCTATATTGAATGAGGAAGGAGTAGACCTCCCGAGATGGGTGCAATCAATTGTTCGAGAGGAGTGGACTGCTGAGGTATTTGACATGGAACTTCTCAGGTACCAGAACGTGGAGGAGGACATGGTTCAGCTCTTACAACTTGCCATTGACTGCACAGCTCAGTACCCAGACAAACGTCCTTCAATGGCTGAGGTGATGAGTCACATAGAGGAACTGTGTCGCGCTAGTTCACAACAAGAATTGTTAGATAATGGATCTTCCCAGCAAGCTTACTCCATTGATTCAGGTGCACCACCACCATCTTCAGTAAAGGATTGAAGAAACTCAGTAATATTATTTCATTGTTATCCTGGTTTTGCTTATCCTTAGCTAGAGATTTGAATCATTTGATTGTTTGTTTATTCTTGGGATTCAATGCCCACCCATATCCACAGCAAATGCTTCTATCTCCCTTGTACCTCACTTTTTGTTGTTTCAAGGTTCTTAATTTTACTCGGTTGCGTGGAAGTGTGAATAACTATTGAATTTGTTTTGAATTTTCTTTGTAAGTTTCCTCATTCAAATCTAGTTTCTGAAGATCTGATTTATTTTCCCTATTCTTTAAATGAATGCTAAACTTGTCTAAAAAAACAATTGTGTTGTTTAGATTATATAACTAAAATTATTATACGTTAATCTTTTTTATTTTAAATATTTTTTTATTTAATAATTTTTTTTTTTATAATTTGATATAATTCAAATAATTTAACGAGACTTTCTTATTAAATTTGAATCTTTACGTGCCGTGTTACACTGTTACCAATTTAAGAGAAATTCTTTTATTTATTTAAAATCAAGAGTCACTTTCTTAATACAGGATTTTGATCACTGACCTGGACATCAAAATAAAGTTGTTTAGAATCTTCTTTTCAAGACAATGCCTTGTTTTCTAAGTCCTTTTTTTTTTTTTTCCTTAATTCCTTTTTTTTTAATAAAAAAGATTATTGCTTTAATTTGACAGCAAAAAATGTCAGGAAAGAAGGACAGAATTATAGAAAATAATAGAATGAAGGAATAGATTCTGAAGGGAAATTAATTGGGTGTCTTTTAATATTGCAGAGCTGGCCTTAGCATATGCTCTGTCTTCAATTATTCTTTGGGATTACTTCTTTTGAGATTGGTCCATTGGACCCTGCATTTTCCCCTTTTTTCTTCTTTTCCTTTTGTACTTTTTATCAGATGAGGAAGTTCTTTATTTATTTATTTATTTTTTCCCATGTTTTGACTACTTTCAACAGCATCTTATCTATGCTGTTCTTGATTTTTAGCCAAGAGAAAAAAAGAACAAGCATATGTGTTGTATTAAAGACAATGATTTGCATGCCAAAAACACAGAAGCTGGAAGTAGGCAGAAAATTTTTTCTCTATAATTGATTGTGTGGTGGGTGTGTTTTTAAAATTATTCAAGATTAATCTCAAATTGTGAAAATGTTGGTTTGAGGATCTTAACCGTCCAAACAAGAAAAAAAAAAAAAAATTCTTTCATTAAATGACAAGTAGTCATTTTCTTTGTTTTGAGGTGTTTGGACTGAATGATTTTGCTTGTGATGCAACTTTGATTCGTTAAAACTGAGTTGTAATGAGGTTGGCGGGTAGAGAATTTTGTTGGAGTTCTTACAGCTCACTTGAAAACAACCAAATGCATAGCTTTTGCTGCAATTCATTTGTTACTACTAAATTTCCAAGTTTGTTCGCAGTAGAGAGGACCCACGGACCACGGTCTAATTTTGGTGGATATGGGTTTATAGGCTCAATTATATGCTTCCTGGTGAATGTGATAATGTTAACATGTTGGTAAGACGTAAGATTTTTGTAATTAAAGGAAGCTTAGCCGTAATATTGTTAAATGTCTTGAATTTGATCTTTATTTTATTTTCTTGGTACAATTCCTTTCAGGTCGTATTAAGTTTTAAATTTGAAATCTTATGATTAATTTAACTTTTATTGAACTAAACACAATTATAACATTCACACCTAACCCTTCGGGTCAAGTGGCATTCGGATCATTTTAAAGGTATAGTCCCTCTCTCCCTGATGGGTTTGAAGTTCTCATTCTACCCATGACACTTTGTTCAAAAAAAAAAAAAACACAACAATAACATTCAAAATTTTATCCATTTTAAAATATTGCTCCAAAATCTACCTAAAAAATTTGCAATCATACCATTAAAAGTTCCCCTATCTGTCATTAGCATTCATCTAAAAAATTAAAATATAAGTTCCTTATTTTGCCATATAGATTACACTAAATTACAAGATGAAAATCATAGACGAGAGGGTGTTGTAAAATCCGATGCAATTCGGAGTGCAAACACTTTTTCCTAGCATAATAACATGAACTCTTTTTGTCTACAAATGGGCGGCTGTGGTCCTCTCCGCATTCCCTTTCAATACTCCAGGGAAAGAAAACTAATACTAGTAGGGGTTGCTAAAAACCGGTTTTAGTTGAAATTCAAGCCGATTTTAAATCAACTAACTTTTTTTTTTTTTTTTTTAATTTTAAGAACCAAGACTGAATCAAAATTTTCACCAATTAATCGATTTGGTTACCAATAAAATCGATTATTTTATATTTGATTTCGGTTTTTACCAAATAAACATTAGTTAATTTTTTTTTCAATAATAGATTATATTTTATGTCATATTTTATCATATTTTACTATATTTATCCAAAATTTGATTTTTAAGAAACTCATTTTTGTTTTTGATTTGTGAAAAGTTCAACTAAAATCGAACCAAAATTTATTCAATTAATACAAAAACCAAAACAGTGAAACTCAAAAATCATTACAACCAATCCAAATTCATTTTTTCTTTTTGATTCGGTTTTGAGGTAACCCTTCGGTTACTCACCCGAATACTCACCCCTAAATACCAGAAAGAAAAATGAGAGAAAACCACCCTCTCTAAGGCCTCTAGACTCTAGAGGGCATTATTTGGCTCAAAGAAGGATACGGTGATATTTCTGGAACAATTTGACTTTACACAACTTTGGATTTCATATTAAATTCCTTCACTCTGACTATCTAAAATATCTTTCAGCTAGAGACATATCAAAGGAAAAGCAGCAACAAGGGCATGACAGAAAAATGTAATTCAGTTTTTCATCATAAGAATCAAACCATAAAACATCACCCTCTGGGGACAAATAACATAACAAGTAACTCTAAGATAGGTTGATCATTTTGATTTGAATCTGACAGTTGTTTATATGACAATTGGTTTTCGGAGGTGACTGGACTCATCTCTACACTCCAGTGGCAAGAAACAACATAAAACAGTTGCTCTACTTAGAGCCTAGTATAAAACATCTTGTCTAAAGCACGGCTAAAAATCTAGGCTCAAATATTCCAACTTCCCACAAAACACTCGGTTGAAGCATAAATGAAACTCATAAATGAAACTGAACTACTGAAGTTTCTAGCATCGATTCTGGTGTGGTGCCGTCACCTTCATCATTCATACCTTCATCATTCATAAACAAATGATTCAACATGCCCAAGATCACACCCTTACTCAGCTGGCAGTTCTTGAATGCTTGATAAGCCAATCGATGACAGAATCTATGTTTATGGAATCCTTGCATGAGATCACGTAGCAGCACACCTCTCTATCAGTGATCGATTTAAGATCTCTGAAACCAACCAATGAGAAGCACTACGATCAGAAATCAGTCTTGTGTTCCCCTTCTTGGGAAAGATAAAACCTGTGATAAGATGACTAATGCAATGATTTCTAACAAGACTTGCAAAACTTACAGCTGGTCCACCAAAGCTTGCTTAGAAAGTGCTTCAGACTTGTCAATTTTGTTTCCAAGAACAAGCAAGGGGATTCCACTTAAGGAAGGCTTGGTCAAAAGGTCATGTAACTCACTTCGGGATATAGGAACACTGTCTCTATCAGCAGCATCAACGACGTATCTGCAAATTTCATCAACCAAAGAGACATTGTAAATAGGTCTATTAGAAAAGCCACCAAGATAAGAATTTGAAGCGGTTGGCTATATTGGCAAGAATATCAGACTTGGACACCATTTTTAGTAATATTTATTCTGATTAAAAGAACAAAAAGGACTTAGTGAGTAAGTGAGAGATAGAACGAGTAAAAAAAGAGAGAAGGCTGAAATGTTGAAAAACTCTGACAATCCTCAGGATCCATCTGATTCAGAGAAAAAATAAGTGAAATCCTTAGATATCCCGTATTACATGACATGAAAAACATGGAACATTAAGAGAATGAGAAATATTACACAATTGCAGAGACACCACGACAATAACGCTCCCACATAGTACGAAATCTCCTCTGCCCTCCAAGGTCCCATAGCTTTATAGTCACATTTCCTTTTACAACTTTTCGCATGTTAAATCCAACCTGGTTTCATAATTTGAGGAATTCCCATATGATATAATCCAAAGGAATTCAAGTTTAGGGTTTCATCAAGTAAAAGATACATACAGTTGGAATCATGTCTTCACTGTAGCCCCCTGTCTGGTAACATCAAAGAAAAAAAAATTCGAAGATAAAAGTTATTTAGTATACAAATTTTATGAGGATAACAAAAATAGATAGAGGGCAAGTTGTCACTCACAGCAATAGCATTAACAAGAGACGTCTTTCCTGCATTCTGAAGGCCAACCAGGGAAAGTTCCATTTCCTGCTTAAAGAATAAGCTGCCATACATAGAGATAGTAAGAAGTTGAAACAGAGATAGTGAAAAGTTTTTACAACAATCATATCTTTGATGCAAAATGTAACTTAATGTTTCTTTTCTCGTCAATTTTGTAAAGTGTAAACCATAACCAAGCAACAAGCAATTTGTGATACTTACTGATGAAATGAAACGTTAACAATAACAAAAACAAAAATTTGATGATAACTCCCTAAAGCGGAGTACTTAACTCTTTTCTCCAGGAAAAAATTGATTCCCAAGATGCGCCGGTACTAGTTTAATCTATGTGCAAACCATAACTAAGCAACAAAATCAACACAAAAACAGTCACACCCTAAGAAGATCTACACAACTAAATTATGCAATTAAGCAGAAAATTTCAATTTTTGAGGGGCACCCATTAACAACAACTACAAGAGAATCCAGAATAAATAAATAAATAAACAAATTCAACATGAAAGTTGAAGAAGGAAAAAAAAAACCCAACAGATTGAAAGCTAAAGCATGAGAGGAAAATATAGAAATCAATCACCTCCGCAGCCAGTTGAGAAGGGAATCCCACAAACCCATTTGCGAATTGTGAGAAAAACAAGCTATCGGCGTATGGTGTGAAGACGATTCTTTGAGCAAATGGAATGCAGTGCAAAATTACAAAAGGTCTAAAAAGAGAGCAAGCAGGCACAGGAAACCTCCAACTTAAGTTAAGACAGGAAACTTCGCCGCCCTAATCTGTTTGTATTGTATTAATGATTCAATATTCTGCGACTTCAGTCTTCTTCTGGATACTTGGATGAATCATGATAGAGATAGTCAATTTATGGCACCAAATTTTACCCACTAATTTATAGTAATTATTGATTATATGTGGACACCATGGGGCGGAGTTATTGCCGCGCCTTAATTTGTTAATTTCACATTATTTTTCATTTATTTGACTATTTTACCCTCTCATTACACTGTTACCTTTTTTTTTTTTCTTCTCTTTTCTTGAATCCTTCACTTTTGAGTTGTTCTCTTTATCCTACTGATTTTTTTTTTCTTTTTTATAGAAAATCCTTGCTTTCTTTGAAACCCATTCCCCTAAGAAACCCACAAAAACAATTCTAATCCGAGAGAGTGAAAATAAAGAAGCTGATGTTTTCAACTCCATTCCTAAGTTTCATTGCATTCTTTTCATTTTCCTTTTCTTTGTTTTATTTAACACTATTAATTTAACACAACTTTTGCGTTTTTTCAAAAAGGTGAAAAAGAGATGGAAATTGTTGAGCTTATACCAGACCCTGAAATCTTTCCAAATAGTTGCAAGAATCAAGTGCACTGAGATTTTAGTGAGAAGGAAAATCGTTTAAGTGATTTTTTTTTTTTTTGATTGTTGAGGTAGGGAGTTTGAGGAGGGCTGTGAATGAAAATCCCATAAGAATTAATTAAATTGTGAATGAAACACCATTTATTAGAAAATTAAGGAAAAAAAATAAAAAGAGAACTATTTGAAAAAAAATTGTCGGAGCAATTTTAAAAGAAAATCAATTGCAGTCCAAATGCATGGATGATCGAGACTAAAGAAGACAATAAAAAGATTAGGTAATACAATAAAAAGATTAAGTAATAAAGGGTAATATGGTCAAATAAGTATAAATGGTGTGGGTAAAAAAATTAGGGTATGGTCAGACACCATATAAATTAATATAATCAATCAGGATAGTGATACGTACACCCATGAACCGGCACCCATTTTGACACCCAAATTGGTTTAAATAGTAAAATTATAAATTTACCATTCTCACTAAATCCATTTCCCACGGAACAAATCCCAGCAAAATTTAAGCATTCAAGCACATTCAACAACTAAATCCCAAGAAAACTCAAGCATTTCATCAAATACATCCATCCAAAAAAAAAAAAAAATCAGAATTTCTTTGGTGAGAACCCGACCTGGGTTCTCCG